ATCCAGATGTGTACTGGAGAGGATATTAAGACAGTGAGTGGATGTTTTGGAGATCTAGTTCTGAATTAGAGGTAACCTGCAGAGAACTATAGACCTTTGCATGTAGACAATTATACTGTGTGTGTGTGTGTGTGTGTGTATGGTCACTATGGGGGCCGTTTGCATTGTGTGACCATAGTGAAGTTGCAGTGTCACTGATCTGCAGATCACTTGTATGATATAGCCATGCTGTTGTTTCAGGAAATGAACGCAAACGGAAAAGCCAGACTGTGTATGTCTGTATACAAGTGTTTGTGCGTGTGCAAACACACTTCTCGCTCCAGTGCTTCTAAGCTTTGAGTCACTACATAGCAGAGCAGTGGGCTCACATTCTCTGGAGTGTAATGTAATGTATCCTGCTGCAGTCATGGAGCTTTCAGGTTTCTGCATGATTATTAATTGTATTATTGTTGCTCAAACTTTCTAAAGGAAGTCAGTGGGACGTGAGATAAAGCTGTAGACATCATATAAACAGTCTCCTCCTGCAGTGCAAACATGTCCACTTTCACATCCACTTCTCAAACCTGATATTGTGCCTTATTGTGTGCTTTTTGTTCTTTTCACTTCTTGACCTTTCTTTCCTTCTGCCTTCCTCTTACAGGAATTTTTTTTCCTTCTCCTTAGGGCTGGGCTAGAGAGGAGAATGTTGGTGGTGCTGGAGTTTAGTGGGGCAGCATATCCCTGCCAAGAAATGAGTTCACCAAACTGCTGTTTCCCCCTAAGGAGATGCGATAAGGTTTCTGCTAGAGGCCTGGCTCGCCGCTTGACTTATAGATGAAAAAAGAGAAAGAAATGGGATAAAGAGGAGGATTAGCAAAGGGGAGGGGATGTAAGGAGGCAGAAGATGAAGAAGAAACTGATCTTTGACTTTTTTTCCCCCCTGCACACTGAATTAAGTGCGTTAGAGGACCCATTTGTTTGCTTAAGTCTTAAAGGTCCTGTTTGAAGAAAACCACAGTATGAAAAGTTGGATTCTAAACAAGTTAAGATGTCTCTTGTTTTTTTTCTGCAACAGAGTCATACAAGACTGATAAAGGGGGTGAAAGAAGACAAAGATTTGATTTAAGAACCAGGTGAAGTGTGAGAAAGCAGATTCATGGAGTTTAAACATTTTAATGGACTGCTGGATGGTGTTACAGGCCTGGCATTTATCAGAATAGTTTTCATCTCATGGATTTGTGTGCTTTAGGACTTGACCCCACCTTATTATTGATATTATAGCGCTGACCTGGCTTATATACTGTATTAACAAATGGGCCATCGCTTCTCAATTGATTTCACATAAGTACAAGTGGGGTTTTCGGAGATGGCGACGGGTAACATGGAAGTCCCAGAAAACTTTGGATATTTGTGGATTTGACCAATGATTTTATTGTTTGTACCTCAGCTAATGGGCCCTTTATCTGCACATACTGAGGAACACTGGTGATAATGCAGCACAAGTTTTAAAAGCAAGGCTTTGGTTATGCAGAGGGTGGTTCTTGTGTAGTATGCATTTTATAGCGGTGTATTCTGTGCAGAGAGTGATCTAAACATTCCCTTTGTCTTATGTCTTATCACTACCAGTTTGACAGTCACTTTGCAGAAAAAAAACATTCAAACTCACATATGTAATTTCATTGCAACACCACAAGAACATTTGTGTTTCTTTAAAACAGAGGACATCTGTTTTCCATATATGGTGCTGATACACTAAGCTGACAGTTGACCATCAGGCACCACTGGCCCTCCTATGACCATTTGACTAGAAGACCACTGGTTGCCAATACAGTTGCGAAACGTTTATCAGAAATATTCTTTGTTTGTACCCTGGAGATGTGACAAGGCTGTTTACGAGATTCATGGATGCTCATGAATGGTTGGCTACTTTGTTTTATTCATCATTCTGCAGTGTTCTTGGGGTACAAATACAGACCACCTACCGGCTTCTTCTGTGATAAACTCTAGTTGTACTTACTAGCTTTTTTGAGAGTTGTTTCGATGCCCCATGACCCCCTCATTGAATGGAATATACTCACATAAAGTACAGAACTTTGATCAGATGATGACTAGTGGTCATAGAAGGGAGATGAAACCAAATGTTATCTTGTTTCCTGCTTAGGTCATGTGATTATGTCAGTGCTAATTCCATATACTGAGGAAGCCAATAGAAATTGGTTGAAAGCTCAGAAACGGGGTATAAAATCCAAAGGGGTATAAGATCAACACTAATTTCCCACCCTAACAGACTGCTTATTTCCACTCACATTTTCATACTCACTAAAATTCAGATTAACATAAAAACTGTGTGCTTTTTCAGCTGCACACTCAAAGCTACCATAGGATCTACTACTAAGAAAATTACAGATCATTTTCATAAAAAAAAAGACGTGTCATATACTCTTAATAGATTTTCCTTGGCATTCTGTTGAATCGCTGGTATGCTTGCCAAAATAAAATTCAACAGTTCTCTTTCATCACAGCAAGACCATAATTATGACAGAATGGCTTTAATGTTGGACTGCCCTCTGTCAAGGCACAGTGACACATACTTTCTACTCTTTGAAGAAGTTAGCCTTCGAGGCGGCACATCAGCCAAACTCTGAATGTTCCACGTTGCTACAGCAATGGATGCTGATGTCACAGCAGTGCTGACACCTGATTGGGTCTCTCTGGCACTGGCTTGCAGCCTGTGCAGGCTGCTTATTACAGTAAGGCTCCAGAAGAAACATTGCTTTTGGTGGTTCATGCTGTAATCCAGTTATAGTTCTACCTAGTCTGGATGAATCTTCATTTGACAGTAGTAGAATCAAAACTTGCCTTTCTAGAGGTAAACAAAATCAAACATTGCATATTGGAAAACATTGCATTAGAGCAAAAAAAAGCACAGGTGTAACCAATAAAATGAATGATGTCTGAGGTCCAGTTCCATGTAGCTCCCTCAGTTTGAGGGTCTTAGGATTGTTCATACTGCCTCAGTGCCACATTCATGACTTGAAAGCATACCTGAATCGAGTAGAGCCATCTTTATTAGTAACATTAAAGGAACTCGCAAAATGAAACTTTAATAATGTTGCAAGAATTAACTCTTATTTCAAGGCTTTTCATGAACATACAAAGATGAAAGGGGAAAAAGATGGGTCTGATGGATAGTAACAGCACATTTTGTGATCAGTTTTAGCTAGAGCATATTGTACATTGCTAGCTGGCTACAGCTAATGTATAAACTAACATGACTTAAGGTTAGGTTTTGTAAACCAGCAAATCTCTTGGCCACTCCCTTATTTTTGTCTTTTTCATTATTTCTCAGCTTTTCTTTTCATATTTTGCATTTAGCTGTGAAATGTCTACATTGTCTTAGCACAGTGGTTGCCCGTGTTGAGTGGACACTGGCTAATTATAAGCGCTGCAAAGGAAAGATCATAAATATCTTTCCTTATACCGTCTTTGCTCTGATCAAAAGAAAGGTTGTTCTTCACGCCACATTGCATCTGACTACTTCCTATCTTACAATCCTGACTTTTGGTAAATTGCCTTTGGGGAGACAAATAATCATTTTTGATCATTGTCACCAACACTGAGGACTCTCAAGATGAAAGTTCATCACTGTTATAATTCATCTTTACTTACATTTGTGTCTTTAAGATCAAGATCAAAGTTGTTATTGTCAATTCACTATATGTGCAGGACATGCAGAAAATCAAAATACCATTTCACTCTCACCTAGTTTTGAATGCCATACCATTTAGGAAACTAAAATAGAATAAAAGTAGAGTAAAAATAGAATAAAAAAAGAATAAGAAAACTAAATCAAAGTGATTAGGATAAAACTAAATGGTACAACCTAATAGGCTATGACTCAAACCCTGTACAATCAGTAACAGTAGTGCAAATAATAACAAGAAGATTGTAGGTGGTTGTGAGATTGAGATGCACATGGACAGTAGTGCAAGTGACCAACAGCAGCAGATATGACAGTAAAACCAGTCAAGCAGCAGATTTACATGTAATACAACAAGAAGGGGGGATGTACTGGGTTTGTGCAAAACAGCAGAGGTAGTCTTTTTATGTTCTGTGGTGGGTTACATTAGCTGTAGCCAGCTAACAACGTACAATATGCTTCAATTGCTTTTTGAAGAAAATGTATACATTTTAATATAGATTTATGTTAATGCCATTCTCTCTAGCCTTCCTAATGGCATACAGTAAACCACAATGCTAAACTTAAATGGTGCAGCATACCATCACTTGCACAGGTAGCAGCTGGATAAAGCTGGGGTTAAGACTACTGCTTAGGGACTGGATGGCCTTGGTAACCATCCTAGTTGGAGCATCGCCCCAGTTAACTAAAGCAGCAAAATAATGATTAATGACATTTAGAGTACATTTTTGTCTAGGAAACTGCTTCAGTGGCACATACCAAAAATCTGTTCTGTGCCATAAAGACACACCCTATTAGTGGAAGATGCAGCAAAAGATAGAAGACTGAGGTGGTAGATGTTTGGATGTTTGATACTTGTTTGCCCTTTAATCAGCTTTATTTGACCAAGTATGTTACACACAAGGAATTTGTTTCCGGTACAGAACCGAGGCAGCCATCTGCGGCGCCAACTCACTGATGGCTCTAACCATCGAGGGAAACTTGGGGGTTCAGTGTCTTGCCCAAGGACACTTTGACTTGTTTACTGCAGGCACTGTGATTCGAACCTCTGATCCTCTGGTTGGAGGACAACTGCTCTACCCACTGAACCACAGTCACCCCCCCCAAAAAATTAAGAAAATGTAATGACACACTAATAATATAATAGCATTATATTATTGGTTGAAATGTTAATAATGTGAAATATGTAGGAGTGACAGTTTAAACACTTGGAAAAGTTATGTTAGTTAAAGCATAAGCAGGGAAAGCAGTTGACGTGTCAGCTGACTAAAAACAAGTCAGTTCTCAGCGGAATAAATGGAAACGTCTGTTCTCTCTGCAGTCTCCAAACAGCAGCCCTCCTCCACTGCCTAGCTCTTCTCTACCAGAAGGATACTATGAGGAAGCGGTTCCTTTAAGTCCTGGAAAGGCTCCTGAATACATCACCTCAAGTGAGTGACAAACTGATGTAAAGCACACGTCCCTGATATCATACACTTACACATAGCCATAAAAACATAGTAGTTAATGGACATGCAGGAAAGGAAGTGGCACCTTTTTTTTTCTAAAACTTGTGATTATTTACTCTTAAATGAATAGGAAATAAGATACAGTTTGTATGTGCACCTCCCTCTCAGACTATGACTCAGATGCCATGAGCAGCTCCTATGAGTCTTACGATGAGGAAGAGGAAGATGGCAAGGGCCAGAAGATGCGTCACCAGTGGCCGTCTGAAGAGGCGTCCATGGATCTGGTGAAGGACGCTCGGATTTGTGCATTTCTGCTGCGCAAAAAACGCTTCGGACAGTGGACCAAACTCCTGTGTGTCATCAAGGATAACAAATTGCTGGTAAGGGATAAATGTGAGTGAATGGGAACACAGATAACAGGCAGGATAACATTACAGCAGAATCATGTTTCCTCCAGTGTAGCGTGTCCCTTTTCTCTTCCTCCAGTGTTACAAGTCCTCCAAAGACCACACACCCCAGATGGAGCTGACCCTGTCAGGGTGCAGCATCACTCACGTCCCCAAAGATGGCAAGAAGAAGAGGCATGAGCTGAAGATCGTCCACCAGGGAGCAGACGCTCTGGTGCTCGCTGTGCAGAGCAAAGAACAGGCAGAACAGTGGCTCAAGGTAACATGAATAGCCCCCAAAACGCTGTTACATGTTTTCCACATTTCATACCATAATTCATAAATGCATAAAAAGTCTGAACAGATATGTGATTCCATGCTGATGAGCAGAACAGTGCTCAAAGTTCTAGACAGTTCATTGTTCAACTTGAAAACAGCAGCTGATGAGACACTCAACTAAAGTGACTAAAACCAGCAACAAACTCAGTAAATGTATGTTCTGCTAACACTGCCCTCCATGGTTTGTAGTTAATAGTTTAGCTTTACATTGGAGCACATGACAAACCATTTCCACTACAAGTCTTCTTAAATGCCTGCTCTGAAACTTTGAGCCTATTACTTGGTCTTCATCTGCAGACAAATATTTTTTTGAGAAGCCAACATGGATGAGAGGTCTGTTCTGTATACAGTACAGTTTTGTGACAACTGATCAAAATTCATTTGCTAGTGTAGACGATGTGCTAAGATCAAAAGCTCTGGAACAGATGAGTTCTTAAATTGAGATAGTATAAGTAAGATCTAATATTAAGTCATTTTAATCAGAGCTACTGTAATAAGCCAAGGATTTTAGTGTCAGTCTAACCTTGTTAGATTTTGGGGTATTTTTGTCAGTTTGACAAATTTCGTACAAAGCGAGAGTTGTCTTAAACACTTCTATGACTCAGATTAACTAAATTATTAGTTCTCACTGCCTCGATCTCCTTCAGTGCTGTTGTAAAATAGACAGCTAACAGTGTAACCATAGTGTCACCAAAAGACATGATCTCATGTGGCTAATTGAGGTGCTGGTTGTCAGCATTAGTGGTGCATTGATGAAAGTCTTTGGATCTGCCTTTAGGTTTTTAGAAGTTGTTGTCAGTGAGGTGAAATTAGATGCACTAAAACTTCCATTTTGAATAAAGTGTGTAGCTCTCAGTAATTTGGCTTCTGTTGTTTGGGATGGGACTTTTCTTGATATTGTACAACTAGTGAGGTGTTACGAACAAGTAGCTGTACAGGTTTCACTCTGATGTGAAGATGTTTGGTTTGCAGCCCTCTGATTTCTCTCCTTGTCTCTCTCACATTCTTTCTCTGTCTCTCTCACCCCCCTTGTTTTCTCTTTCCATCTCTGATCTTTCCCTCTGGCTGCTTGACAAGTCTGCAAAACAAACCCGCCCTGTCGACATCAAATAGGCTCCGGTACTTTCTGCTTTTAACCCCTGCCTAGATTTGTTGTTAGTGTAGTGCCAGCACCTCTGGGCTCTTTCTATTTTAGTCACATGAGGAAAGACGGGCCTCATCTGGTCTTTGGATTTAAAAGAAACCCCATGGCCTCCTCTTCCTCCTCACCTCTGGTCTCCTCAGCTCTCCTGAGAATCTCACAGAATTTCTTTTGTTTTCTTTGCCCGCTGGCTTTTGCCAACTTGATTCCCCTTTTTCTGCATTTTGATTGTTTTTTGTATAATGGTCCCTAGGGACAAAGCAGCCACCAAAAGTCAAAGCACAAATATTATGGACTTTTGGATGTGTGGCATATTCCTATAATGTCTGTGTATTTTCTTTTATGTGCTTTGTTCCTACTTTTGGGCTCAGGGGCAAGTATTTCATTCACACCTAAAGTCGTGTTAAAAAATGTATGAAGACTATTGATGTAAATGCCAGTCTTCTTACTTATTATTGCATTATTGTTTGCTTTCTGTCTTTTTTTTCTTGAAGTATCAATTGTTTCATGTTTATGGCTGTCAGGAAGCAAAGATCAAAACAGTTTTTCTTCTTGGTTCGATTACTCATTCCACACAGCACTTGGCTGTTGTTTATTGAACGGCCGGGGCAGGTAAGCTTGTCAGGGCCAGGGTATCTGCAGGCAGTCGCAGCCAGACCTGTGAAAATATACAAGACTCTGTAAATGACTGTGGTAATGACTGCACTAATGTTGCCTGGAGAAACTTCGTCTGGGTGCCTATTTAGTGAGGTGCCTGGGTACTGGAAATATACTAAGCTGATAACACTAGTTTTTCACTGTCATAATCGCTTCGGTGTTTTTTGTGCTTAATTGATGCACATGTATTTCGTCATGCTGTTGCAATCATCAGTCTTTGCACCCAACTGACCAGCATTCTGCACTCACACCCTCCTTTGCCAACAGCTCTGGATTTACAGCCCATGTGCTATATTTGCATCATTAGCAGCAGAGCAGTGGCGAGCTATGATGTTTTTCCATCAGCACCGGTCAGCCCGCTTTAATCAAGCTGAGCTGGACAGGCACGGGTTGGCCTCCATTTCTAACTTTCCTTAGCAGTAGGGGACAATCGTGCTGGATTGGGCTCAGGTGGTCCTGCTTCTGCCAAGGGCCAGGTGAGGCCAAGCTTCACCTTTAACATAGCTGGCTTATTGAGACTTGATTGGCTGAAATGTTGCACTGAGGGAAAATCCTTAAACATCCAGCATTGACTTTTTATCCATAATGTCATTGCAGCAAGATTTGAAAATGGAGTCTCTCACTTGGTTTTCTGATGAAGGTTAAAATAATGCCTAGCACCAAGAGCTTCATGTTGCAAGCTAGTAGCACCACACCGAACCACATGGTTGCATCTCATGTCCCTTATAAGATTGTTCCTATGTCCTCGGTCAACCAGGAAGTCATTCCAGTTCTCTTATGTTGGCCCTGAGGGTTGAGGAGTGAGTTCCAAGGATGATGCTGGAGGAGCCAGGACAGAGGATAAATGAGACAGACAGACATTTTTTGAGAACTGACACACCCCTTTATCAGAAATCATCGGTGATTGGATGCTTCAGATGAAGGAAAGGATGTCTCATGTCATAAATAACATGTTTCCGCCCTCACATGATCAAGGTGCAGAAGATAAACAATGCATATGATGGTGCAGTGGAAACAACCATGCTGAGCTGCTCAGCAGGGCTTTCTTGTGCAGATGGAAAAACACCAGTAGGTTCTCTGGCCTGCTCTGCGTTCCCTTGAGCCTCAGGGTGTGTACAAGTGGCCCCCAGCCAGAGAGATTAGCATGTCTTTGTGTCTGTGTTTGGACCTTGTTTCTAGGACCACTGGGTATTAAGTAGTCACTCATGTATTTAATGTTCCCCTCACTTTTCCTTGTCTCTTGACCTCTTTTTCTTCAACTTTTTTTTATTTTTTTTGTCCACCTCTCTGAAATGCATCTTCTAGCCACAGACATATAGTGTCAGCCATTCTGACAGCCATTCTTGCATTTGATATGACATATTTGGATAATGGAAATAAAATTTTCTTATAAAATTTCCCACCCTTGTCGAATCACCCAGCCAACAGTGTGATCATGACTCAAGTTAAGCCATGTGAAATCACAATTAACAAATGGAGATAAGAGGTGGAAAGCAAAAGAGGTGGTAAAGAATGGGAAAGAGAAGAAAGAGGGAGTGAGGTGAAGGAGGAAGCAAGAGAAAAAAGAAGAGGAGTCTATTGAGAAGAAGAGAAGGCAGGGTAAAGGGAAAGCTCAGAGAATGCTTGTGGGTTTCCAAAACCCCTATTTACAGTAATGATTCTCCCAGACACCGTCTGCTAATGATGTGTTTATGGAACACACATGTCCATATTGTGTCCTTACTTCATTCTCCTAAATCTTCCCAGTGTTTTTTTTTTTGTTTTTTTGGAAATTGTATGCATTTCTCTCCTCTTTTCCCTTGTCCTCCTCTTACTACTCTTCTTTTTCCTCCTGCTACAGTATGACCTGAGTTGTAGCTTATGCTAGTTTGCAGTGCTTGCTCCTTACTGGGTCTTTAAAATAACCAAAAACACAGCAAGAAAATACACACGGAGCAGCACAAATTAAAAACCGTATTATATTGAATTGCAGCAAAACTTAATGACAAGTGCTGAATGTAAACTGTGGTCGTCTAGCCAGGAACCTTTGTTGCACATTATCCTCTGTCTGGATCCCCCCTCATATTTTTCAATAAGTAATTCATAAATGCCATAATTTTAACCAGAAAGGCAAAAGCTAAAATACAATCCATGACACTTCAGTTTAGCTTTCCTTTGAAAATGATATTAAAATAGCACAGGTTTTTGAAGCACACACTGCATAAATATACACCGAAAAACCTTAACAAAAGGAATTATAATAAAAAATATAAAAGAAAAAAGCCTCACCATTGTTTTTATGCATCAGCGGTGTATGTTAAGTGCAGCCAATAGCCCTATTATATGCTGTCAGAATTGTTTTTGATTGCTGATTATAATGAGTTTTTTTCTTTTCTGATGTTTTTCCAGATAAACAATATATCTCAAGTGAATAAAGGCACTGAATACTTTTTTAAATTATGCTGATTTGTTGTGTATGTACAATTGAAGTTAGAAGTTTACCTATACTCAGGTTGAAGTCATTGAAACAGTTTGTTTTTTTTACCACTCTATGGATGTTATGTTAACAAACATAGAACATGTAGTTTATGCATGGCACAAGTAATTTTTCCAACTGTTGTTTACAGCTAGATCACTTCTAATTCACTACATTACAATTCCAGTGGGTCAGAAGTTTACATCCACTCAGTCAACTGGGCCTTTAAACAGCCAGGAAAAGTCGAGTAAATGATGTCATGGCTTTAGAAATTTCTGCTAGGCAAACTGGCATCATCGGAGTCAATAGGAGGTGCAGCTGTGGACAGACCTTCAAACTCAGCACCTGTTTGTTTGACAGCATGGGAAAATCAAAAGAAATCAGCCAAGACCTCAGAAAAAAAAAAGAGGGCCTCCACAAGTCTGGTTCATCCTTTGGAGCAATTTCCAAACACCTGAAGGTACCACATTCATCTGTACAAACAATACTACACAAGTATAAACACCATGAGATGCTTTGCTGCAGGAGGAACTGGGGCACTTCACAAAATAGATGGCACCATGATGAAGGAAGATTATGTGGATATGTTGAAGCAACATCTCAAGGCATCAGCCAGGAAGTTAAAGCTCAGTCACAAATGGGTCACTTAGCCCAAGCAGACTTCCACAGTTATGGCAAAATGGCTTAAGGACAACAAAGTCAAGGTACTGGAGTGGCCATCACAAAGCCCTGACCTCAGTCCAATAGAAAGTTTGTGGGCAGAACTGAAAAAGCGTGCGAGAGCAAGGAGGCCTCCAAGCCTGACTCAGTTCCACCAGTTCTTTCAGGAGGAATGGGCTGAAATTAGAGCAACTTACTGTAAGAAGCTTGTGGAAGGAATCCTGAAACGTATTACCCAAGTTAAGCCATTTAGAGGCAATGCTACCAAATACTATCTGAGTGTATGTAAACCTCTGACCTACTGGTAACGAAAAAATAAAAGCTGAAATAAATCTTTGACATTTCACATTCTTAAAATAAAGTAGTGATACTAACTTACCAGGGAATGTTTGTAGGATTCAATGTCAGGAGTTGTGAAAAACTGAGTTTAAATATATTTGACTAAGGTGTATGTAAACTTCTGGCATTTAACTGTAGGTGTTTGTTCAGTGTATGTAGGTTATAGTAATAGCATAAAATATGATGTGTGGTCTCTTACTGTCTGAATACTCCTTTCATTGAAGGTGGTGTTTCAGCATCCCAAACAGCTTCATATAGTCCCACCACCTCCTCCAGGTTGATTCGTAATACATCATCAGACCTACATAGTAGTGCAGTCTGGCAGAACAACTCTGCAATGGAAATGGATATGATGTTGCAGTCTGTCCCGCTTCCCTGGCCTCTGAGCTACTCTCTGAGCCAAAACCATGGAGCCGCAGCCTGTCATTTCCCCTGCGAAACCCAATTATGCTCTTTCCAAGCCAAAACCAATGAGCTGAGCAGCTCTGCATGGCCAGAGATGGTTCAGAATGCTTGTGGAGAAGACGTTTGAGTGTGTGCGTGTGTGTGTGTGTGTGTGTGTGTGTGTGTGTGTGTGTGTGTGTGTCAGACAGTGCATTAGCTGACTTGCAGATACAGCTGCTCTTCTGAAACCTCATTTCTCACTGCCCAGCACTCATGTACACACACCCCTGTCACTGCCACATGCTTAGGATTGCCAGATCTGATGATGGGTTGCCAGGCCTGAGGTCCAGCAAGGTCACTGTAATATACACTGGCGCCTCATTCAAAGCCCTGAAGATCTCGTTCACCCCTAGTGGGCCTTATTGTATAAGGACTTAATGAATGTAGTAACCCTCTGTGGTGTCCAGCGTGTGTACCAGAGACCCTCACCTCTTCACCGTTTCCTACCACACATGAATGCATACCCTCTAACTCTAGTAGTTACTGCAATGCATGGGCTGTATTGCCTTTATGATTCTTTGGCTGCCATTCAAAAGCATGGTATGATGTGAGAGGAGGGAGGTGACCATACATGTGGATTGCATTACCCCAGACGTACTTTTTAGGCTGAAAGAATGTGCTGCTTTAATTACATGGCAATGGTGTGAGGAAATATTTTAGGATTTTTAAATAAGGGATCCACCCATATGTAATAACAGCTAGGACCTAACATTTCACTTGGCCAGTTGAATTGATCTCCCTCAGCTGTGATCAGAATGATGGCAAGTGTGGACTTTCCTTTTGTTTCATGTGAACAGCAGCCTCATTAGTTAATGTTGTGCTTTTTTATGCTTTCCAGGTGATGCGAGAGGTATGTGTCAATGGGAGTGTAGACTTGGATGGAGTTGGATCTGGGTCACCTGTACACAAACCTGAACTGGAAAAGGTAAACTAAATTACACCTGTGATTAAAGCTGCTATGATTGGGCAATAACCTTATCAGTGAATGTTGTACTTTTCCATAAATTAATGTTTTTGCTCTAGGCAGAGATAATGAAACCTTGACACATATTATCAGTATTTCAGCCTTAATACTGTTATGAATTGAATGCCAATATTTGGAGCTAGTTGTGATGAAAAGGTTACAGAATGCAAAATTAAGTAGGCCACACATGTTGATTGACTGTATCAGATTTTTTCATACCATATGCTGCTCATTGCAGAAGTTGGAGCTACTGGTTGTGAAGATCAGTTTAACCGGCAGTCAAAAGTGACATTATTCTGCATACTAAGCTAAACAAAAGATGATTACACCATGAGTTGCATAGGGGAATTTTTTTTTTTTTTTTTCAGTTAAAGAATTAATTTTTAGCATTTGTTTTAAGTTGTGCTGCAGGCCAACTGTAGATTTCTAATAGAAATAAGGTAAAACATTGAGTCTCCATCAAGTCCAGTAAAATGACTGACTCTAGCTGGTTAATGTTCAAGTATGCTTTGTCTCTCTGGGCAGTGGGTTTATCGGAGCATTTTCATTTAAAACAGCTGCCCGCTGCTGTTTCAAATAACATTCCAACTTAATTTACAAATGCTCAAAGTGAAACCAAAATAGATTGAATATGAGGGTTCAGATTTGATTAAATGGTCTCAATCTTCAGTTTTCTTCATATATTATGTCAGTGATATTTAATTGTAACACATAACCTTGTATTGATCGTGCTATAATAGACAAACAGCAAATATAGCACCATCCCTCAACGGCCTTTTTACTTGCCATAACTGAACACACTCAGTTATAATAGTAAAAGCTATTTGCTAAATAACACTTTATTCTACATGGAACAGGATGGACAGTGTAAAGAGCTGGAGACATAATGTACTCAGTTCATAAGTGTGCCTGTATATATCTGTATACAGTATATGCATGTGTGTTTAGTGGTGGAAAATGAGCCACATCATAGACTCTTTAAAGAAAAATGCTCCTAACTGGGCACAGCAAACACAAGCCCAGCCTAATTGTTAATCTGTAATACATTACAGATGCTCTTAAGGGTGTAATTAGACTGCTGTGTTTGTACATTAATGCCTTTGTTGAACTGTCTTTCTTCAGAAAAGTACAGTTTAGCTTACTTTGCACCTCCTTGTGCATCTGTTCTCCTTCTTATATATGATATTTCTGCTACCAGAAGGCACTGTGCGACAGACCGAGCTCAGATGGTGAGGCCACCCATGAGAACGGACACAACGACTGCAAGGACCAAGGTGGGGCTCCACAGCAACAATAACCAAAAACATGTGTAACATTTTAATGTTCATTTACATCCACTCCATGAGAGGCTTTTTTATGTTTGTAGTAAACACAAACATGACTTTCCTGGGAAAATCCATTTCTGCTGCATAGGAAATGGTGATTTGTGGTTATCTTGAAATCAGAAAAATAGAAACTGGGTAGTTGCATGAACAATGTCCACCATGGATGACAGAACATGTAAGAGCCCAGCATGTATGATTCAGTGTTTCACTGATGGATCATGTAAAGGAATGACAGTAAGTGAAAATTTTAAAACGTTGAAGGGTTTCCTGCTGTGTTCCACAGTAGTTAGGAGCAGTGGCCCTTCTGTTCTGATTGCACTGATTTTATAAATCCTAAGCACCTATTTCTTTTGCATGTCATGCTTTGACTCCTAGTTTTTCATATAGAAGAATCCAGAATCCCATGATCATTACCATCACCCTGACTCCACCCAGCAGCCTGTTTTACCTTTGTGAAATGTTTGTTTATTACTCTGAGAACAGTTAATAATGGAACAAATGGTATATTTTATTTGCATGATGGAAAAAGATGCAGTATTTATATGCATAATAAGAGTAATATAGTGGACCTCAAGTCTGGCTCTGTTGATAATAATGGTTGTGCAGAATTAGCTGAGGGCCACAATGTAAGGGCCCTTTGGAGGCCATCTTTAAAGTTCATTGACATACTGTGCATTTTATGTGTTTAGCTTGATGATCATCCTTGATTTGATTTTGATTTGATTTATTCTTTCAAACGTAAAGACAGTTGATATGTCAACACACATAATTTTACACATATCCAACAAATGCTAATCCAATATCACTTTGCTTATACCTAGTAAATGCTTCAATGGAGTAGGAAGAAGTCAGACTTATCCAGTCCTACCCCATGACGACATCTTACCATCATTGGTTTGCAAGCAGTATCTCTACATAGATAATTCTCTTCTACACCACACAAGTAATATACTAAAGAATTATTACAAAGTGTTAACATTCATACACCACACCCACAATGTTCCATCTAATTAATCATTAAGCCTGTTCTTGCATATATCTTGATTGACACATACCTTTATATTTATATTTAAACTCGTCAATTCTATTACTATTTTTTATGTCCACACTTAAATTATTCCATAGTTTTACCCCACTTATGGAAATACAAAATCTTTTTTTGGTTGTACGTATAACATGAATTTTTAAATTTAACTGACCCCTTAAATTGTATCCCCCTTCCCTTTCATTAAATAGTTTTTGAATTCCACCAGGTAATAAATTGCTCCTGGCTTTATACATAAACACTGCAGTCTTATATCCCACTAAATCAAAACATTTTAACAATTTAGACTGTATGAAAACTACATTGGTGTGATCCCTATACCCCATCTTATGCACAATTCTTATCGCTCTTTTTTGTAATATATACAATGGTTGAAGTGAGCTTTTGTATGTATTTCCCAATGGTAAAATCAATGAAGAATACAATTTCATATACTTGTTCTATATTAGCTCCCCCAATTTTCAATTGAAGTTTATTATTTAGTTTACGATTCCCAAATACCATAAATTTAGTTTTATCCAAATTCAGAGATAGTATATTACTATCACACCATTTCTTTATCTTCTCAAGTTCCTGTGAAACCCGTCCAGAGAGTTGCTGTAGGTTTTCACCCGATGCCCATATGGTAGTGTCATCAGCAAACAAAACCACTTTCACTAAATCAGAAACCATGATGTCCTTTACCTTGACATCAGCAGTTTGACAATACAATCCCAGTTTAATGTCCACTTTCTAGCACATACAACTCATTTTCCAGAGCTGCCAACCACAACACATGGGCTTTACTAGGAAAGTAAACATATGCTGTGTATGTAATTATAATAGATCCTGAGCTTACAGGTCAACAGATTCAACACTCTGACAACTGGACAATCTCTATGGCCTCATGAAAACCTATGATACAGCAGACAAAACTAGTTTGTTTGATGTTGCAATATCTGCAAATGGTTGTGTGTTTATGGAGTGAAATCCCCATCTTAAAACCCTGCATTCATGAGGTAACATTAGGTGTAGCCCTAAAGCACGATACAGTAGTAACAGTTGAGTTTAATAAGGGGTAAGACGCTGTCAGTATTGTTGTTTCAACCAACAAAGAATTGTTCTCAACTTGGTCCCCGGTCTAAACCTTGAGATATCACAGCTGTCCTTCCCCCTTAATCTGCCTCATGATTCAGAGGTGAATCTCTGGCTCTGAAGAGGTCAGCCTTTAATAATAATGCATGAAGCTTGAAGAATTAGCACCAGAATTTATTTAACATGGCTTTTGCACCGAGTTGGTCTTCTCCTGC